TTCTCAGTGTATGTGCACTGGAAGTTGCATATTTGACCAGGATGAGCTTCCAAACTAGATGGAGTGATGTCAGATATTCATCTCTGTACATAAATTCAGATTTAAGGTGAGCACAGAGACTTTCTCCCTTCAGCAGATGAATGTGATCAAACATCCTTCTAGTGTCAAACTCTACACACACATCATTCTGCAGAGTGAAGGTCAAACATCCAGGTCAAGTAAAACACATCTTCGAGTGGAGGTGGACTTCAAACTTTGTCCTTACGTCGCCAACAAGGCCACATTTATGCTCTTAATGCCCCTTCTAACTAGGTCCACCACCTTTTAATTGCATATATTTCTTTATTTAAATGTTTTTTTGGCTCCATTATTCATAAAAATGTGCCTTATTGAAGTTGTACATTCTTTGATTTCCTCCTCTGCCATCCAGCTGCAAGCAAGAGCAGACTGACGATCCTCTGGATGAATCGAGGCTCGCGTACCTGTGCCATCTCCAGACAAGGGCAGGTTTTGTGAAGGTGTGGCATGAGCAGTCCCGGCTTCCTGCACACCCACACAGGTGTTTCCAGTTATTCTCCGATTGGGTAGAAGTTCAATGGTGCCATACTGGTAGCTGCCGATGAGGTCACTGAACTCCTTATACCGGTATAATAATCATACAGTTCAAGGCTGTCCCGCCCCAAACTAGTGCAACAACTTACTAAGAGGTAATCAGAGATAAGCATGTTCCATTTCCTGTGTGGCTGTACGGATGAGTAGTAGTACACAACAGCGCCTTCTGGAGTTCAAATCTGAGACTAATTTAAATCACCTCAGTATCTCAGCATGCATTATGGGATTACACGCTTTAACTGAAAGCCAGTTTGAGCACACTGCAGGCGTAGAAGTCGAAATGTGGGGGTCTAATAAACAGATGCACCATGGGAAGTGTAGGACGCATTTCTTTCAAGGTCAACTCATACTAAAGGACCATTTCAGTCTCACTGAGTGACTCAATTTTAGATTACTGTAAGTAGAGTTCGGCTTACTAAACACAATGGTTGTCCATGTCCATGCCTTTAATTCTCCCGGTGAACTAAGCCGTGGCAATTATTTGACTCTTGATGAATTGAGTCAGTGCAGCCGCCACGTTTAAACAGAACTCAGTTTTAAACAAGCTGGTTCAGTGTTTTAAACAAAAAGGTTATGTTAGTGTTACTAAAACATTGTACTTATCCTTTAGTGTTGAATGCGTTTCCTTTCTCAAAACATTTGCAAAGCCATTATTTAAATATATATTTTTTAATATTTGAAACATTTCAAATCCAGCAATGTTTACATTTGTGTTTACTACATTGCAGTTTGTTTATGCTAGTGAAGGAAAAACAAAATGGGGACCCACTAATAGAAAAACAACTCCATAGCGCTACTAGTGGTGAAGCATTCCACAAGGAATCGAAGTATAATTTTGAGGTACTCTTACTTTATTTCTACTGTACTACATGTCAGGGGAAAATATTGTACTTTTTACTCAACTACATTTACCTGACAGTAATTAACTTTCAGAAAAATAATAAATACACACTGAGATCAAACCGGTGGTTCCTACACAACCTGTCTAGTTGTTGCCCCTTGTTTCATGTTTATGACTTACTATGAAACATCTAAAAAGGTATCTCTTAACAGGGTTCAGTCCCCTGTTTAGAGATACCTGACCAACTCTTTGCCTTGACCAGGCTAAAATCAATCAATCCTGCAAGCAAACCGCAACAAAAAGTCTCCCCACCCATTTCTCAATGAAGTGCAAAAACATCAAAATTTCATTTTATCAAGCCACAACTTTATTTCCATCTTGGGTATAAATTGTATAAACGAGCTTAAATCAGCAACCTTTCTTCAACCCTACAGTGCCAGGGTCCCATTACATTGTCAACTCCTGCAAAAGGGAATAAAAAAAAAAAAAAAGGTTTGTTAGCACATGTGCGAATTAGTTTTTCCACAATTTAAAGAATTGCTCTCTTCTCAGGACAGAAATGTTGGCTTCATTAAACTCAGAAGAACGAAAGTCACTGTGTTAATCATCACTGAAGAGTTGTGTACACATTTATCTACAGAGATCTGAGCAAACCTTTTAAAATGGCCTGCTGAACAAAGACTGCAAATCATTTTCACTACCAATAACAAAAGTTCTAGAAATCTTACCATAATAGCATTGACAATGTCGTTGTTGTTGTTTTTCAGGGCGCGTACAGCCTTCGCCCGCGACACGTTGGCTTGTGACATGACGAGTTCAATGTCCTTGACCTCAACTCCGGTCTCATCAACCTATAAAACAAAACAGAACAGGGGAATTTGTTATAATAACTCATGATAAAACAAAGTGTGCATATTAACGTGTCCCTCGCTTGAATAAAACCTCTTACCTCTTCTTCTTCGCTCTCCTCCTGTACTGTTGGCGTCTGTGTGTTTTCCTGGATGTTTGATACAGCTTCTCCCTGTACCTTGAATTTTTCTGCGGCGGCCAGCTGGGCTTGCTGGGACAGATCTTCGATCTATGGGACATAGGGTAAAACAAAAACATCAATACACAATCATTTGGCAGACAAATTTCAGCTGTGGACATTTTGTACCATTCTGACCATCCCCCACAGTATCATTACCTGAACCTCTGAATGAGCCTTCTGCTGCCTTATAAAAACAGGTAAGACTACACAAGACAGGGACAAGAGTAAGGGGGCTTTTATCGTTCCTGGTCACGTACCTTAGCTTCACCGAAGACGATGTATGTGTCTGATGCGGGGCTCTTGTAGACGTCTGGTTTGGTAATAACGAACAAGATGTTCTTTGACTTGCGAATGGTAACCCTGGTGACCCCTGTTACCTGCCTGAGACCCAGCTTTGACATTGCCTGCAAGAAATACAAGTTATTTTCACAAATGTGGCCAATTCTGACCTTTACAAAACGAGAACCGAGACCTGCTTATTACATCAATTATAAACTAAGACCGTTACCTTTCGTGCCTTCTTTTCACTGCGGCTCTGTTTGGCTTTGCTGACAGGTTCCTCGTCTATTTCGGCAGCTGCTGCAAGCTATAAGAGACAGAATATTCATCCACATTTTACATAAGTAAATAAGTAAATGTAGACTGAGGAATTAGGATAGTTTGAATATGAACTGACAGAAATTGCAATGCTAATCATTGTGTAAACATTTTCTCTTCTCAGGACAGAAAGCTGGCTTCAGGAGACTCAGAAGAACGAAAGTCACTGTTTTAATCATCACAGAAGAGTGAAGGACAACCAACATCGATACGATTTGTTTGACATTAGCAGCAGATGTTGTAATGCTCCTTCCTGTTTCAGTTCAAGACAACAGGGAACAAAGATATAAGACCAGACTGAAGTCTCACCTGAGCTTGCTGTGTCTGTGTCTGTGCAGAGTCCTGTTCCTCCAATTCAGGGACTGAGTCATCGCTGTCTGACTCTGTGCCAGATCCTAGAGAAACCAACAACAGAAATATTGTCACTACATGCCACCTATTACATATTTGCACAACCAAAGTTATGAAAATGTGCTGCATCACTCCTGGGGAATGAAAAAAGGCAGGTTAATAGTAACTCTACAGTATCTTTGTTACCCGAGATGAACTACATCCACCTAACCAATGAACATTTCGAGTAAACGCTCAAGTTAACAAAAAACTACCATTAACTTGGTGTTGTAAGAATGGTCCCCCATTAGAGCTTGTCAACTTCAAATCTAAACTACAGAGTACTTTAAAGATGTTGAAAACAATACCTTCCTACCCAATATCACATTTACCAGTCTGACACGAGATATTTTCACTCACTAAATATAAAAACTGACAGATATATGATCGCACAAATGAAACTGCACAACATGGCTGACAGTATGCGACATCAGAACTGACAGGAGAATCCATGTGAACAACTCATCTTGAAACAAAACTTAAAAGCAAAGCTAATGTACTTTACAACCTGGTTCTTTTGAACGACATATCTAAGCACCTGAGCAGTTCTCAGAACGCCATGAAAGTTGGAAAAAAACAGATGACAAAAGAGAGAAAGAAGAAAATACCCTTGTCGTTCTTGATCACAGGCTCCACCTTGGCTGGGGTTTTAGCAGGTTTGGGTGATGAGACGGGTTCAGGAGTACTGATTACCTCAACCTTAGGTTTAACAGGTGTCGCAACTGCCTCAGCAAATGTAAGTTTACGGGGAGCAGGGGCAGGAACGGCGGGCTCAACTGGAGCAGGTTTTACGGGGGCAGATGTGGGCTCAGCTGCTGGTTTGGAAGGTACGGCAATCTCAGCAGGTGCTGCCTTAACCTCAACCAATTTAGGCTCAGTAACTGGCCCAGCGCTCTTCACAGGGGCTGGCTTGGTAACCTCAGCAACAGCTGGTTTAGGTTCTGCAGCTGGCTTAACAACCTCAACAGGGGCAGACTTGACCTCTGCCTCTGGCTTTACAATCTTAGGAGGGGCAGGTTTGGCCTCAGCAGCTGGTTTGGCAGCCTTAACAGGAGCAGGTTTGGCCTCAACAGGAGCAGGTTTAGGAGCCTCTACGGGAGCTGGTTTAGGAGCCTCAACAGGAGCAGGTTTAGGAGCCTCAACAGGAGCAGGTTTAGGAGCCTCTACGGGAGCAGGTTTAGGAGCCTCAACAACTGCCTTAACAGGAGCAGGTTTGGCCTCAGCAGCTGGTTTAGCAACTTCAACAGCAGCAGATTTTACTGCGGCTGCTGCTTTGGCAAGCTCAACAGGCACAGACTTGGGCTCAATATCCACCTTGAGTTTGGGTGCTACTTTAGTAACCTCTACATTTGGTGGTTCATAACAAGGTTTAGGAGACGTACCAAGTTTAGCACCCTCTTTCTCAACAGGGGGTACAAGTATTGGCATTGTTACCGGCTTCTCAGGTGGGATAAGTGGGGGGAGATCATCATCGGCAGCTTTTGAGGTCTTAATTTCAACGGATTTGGGAGGGCTAGAAGCAATAGTATCTAAAAATGAAACTGGAGCTGCAACAGCAGGCTTTGATGTAACTTTAAAAGCAGCTGGGGCTGCAACAGGCTTTGGAGCAGCCGGTGAGGGTTTGACGGTTTCAACTGGGGCAGGTTTAGCTTCAACTACAGTTGGCTTGGGGTTAGCTTCTACTGGTTTTTCAGTTGTTGCTGTGACCTTGCACTCGGCAGGGGCAGGAGCAGGCTGAAATGCCTCTCCTTTCTTAGCTTTTCCTTGTTTGCCAGCCTTGACAACTTTTGGGGTGAAGCGATTAGCAGGAGAACTGCCAGGTGTGGTAGCTAGGGGAGATGACACAGGTGACAGGGGGGTGGAGGAAGTAGATTTTGGTGAGGTGGGAGAAGAGGAAGAGGCAGACATAGAAGAGCGTTTTCTTCTGCCAGGAACAGCCTTTGGGGCAGAGGAACCCTGCGCACTCTTGGCATCTTTGCCTTTTGGCTTTGCAGGGCCAGAAGCTGCCTGAGGGTGCTGGGAGGAAGCTGGGGCAGGAGGTGTAGCTGAATAGAAAAACATTCTTTAAAATATTTGGATGGGATATGGGTCGTACTCATGCAGGTTAAACGATCACAAACCAAGACGCAATATTCTTGTTTAGGGTTAGGAAAAGGACACACCTGCCTAACTTTGATGAGTTTGATGCAACTTGCCACTCAAAAATGCACAGTACATACTACTTCCACACAGAAAAGCGCATTTTATAATTTAGTCAAGATGCACTTAGGACAAAGTCATATTTGCAATATTACATCACCACCTGATGAAATACTGCACTTGCACATAGCAACAGCTACCCTACATAGACGCAACAAGTGCACAAATGCATCTGCTATTGCACCACTGAACCGGTGCTTTGAGTTAGAACTGACAACTGGCCACAGAGGTGAAATTAAAAGAATGATAACCAGTCAATTAAACAAGTCATGACCCATCCTGACAAAAAAAAAAAAAAAAAGAGGCCGTAGCAATTTCAGAAACTTCCTCACTTCAAAATACCACTGAGACTACACTGTAGGGAAAACATTAAACCCTTTTTCATTTGAACTTGTACCACTCACGTTACCGCATTATACACACCCAACCAGATCATAAAGGTGAACTTAAAAGACCGGGATAAAAGGTGGGGGTACAGGGTTGGCTGCTTTTCACAGAGGATAAACCAACCTGACAGGTGGTGTGTGGAAAGAGGTGGGCCTTCGCATTTGGAGGTCCCCTTTGATTGAATGGCCTTTGAGAGAAGTATAACAGGTTCTTCCTTGTCAGGACTTTCTTTTTGAGTAGGCAGGTCGACGTTCAGATTCTTCGCGTCGTCAACATTCAGATTCTTCGCGTCGTCGACCGCAGTCTTTGGGGATTCAGTTGCCTTCCCAGCTTCACTTTTCACACTGACGTCTTCAGGAGCAGATGGTTTTGGATCATCAAGGACTTTTTCTGCCACTGCTTCGGGCTCGTCTCCGGAGGTCTTTGCTTCAACAGAAATATGCTCAACCTCCTGCCTGGCCGATTCTTCAGCAGCACCAACTGTCTCCGGACTTTGCGCCTGTGTAGTTGGAGCTGCTTGTTCATCAGCTTGTGGCTCTTTTGAGGTCGCAACGGGAACCTCAGCAGAAGACACAGACTCTTCAGGAACTGGCGGGCCAGCTGAATCCCCTGCTGGGTCAGCAGTTGCCTCTTGCTGCGAGACAGGTGTTGCCACCAACCCAATCTCTTCAGTTTGCTTGGTCGTTTCTTGAGTCGCAGCTACACCATTTGCTTGATCACTAGTCTGAACGCTAGCGGCTTCTGGAGAGCCTATCTCTAGAGCAGGAACAGGAGTTTCTGGAGGATTCTCCAGAGCGATTGCCTTGCTCACTGTAGGAACAGCCATCTCAGAAGCAGCAGCAGAATTCGATACTTCTGCAGCTGATAAAGGAAAATCAGTAGGAGTAAGAGGGGGAAAAGGAAATATACAGTAGTTGTTTGGGAAGCAGTTTACTTCAACACAAGTTTGAAGAGCTTCATGAATACACTGAAGTGAAAAAGAAATCGTGCTCCACACGTGAATAGAAGCGCTGAGTGTGTGAAACGTTCAGTGAACTGGAACTGGCTTTGGTTTGCCAATATAAAAGAGGGGAGGTGTTAAGTGCACTTAAAGATCCCAGTGTCCCAAACTCCATGCAGTGGTTAAGTGTTAGGCAAGTGCCAGGAGACCTCCTTTATTCCAAAAAAAGCAGACAATGCATGTAAATAAGCTATGAATCTACCCATCACCCTAGATTTGACAGCTCAGTATGTGTACATTATTGTACTGCTTCATGGCAAAGTTTATATGGAGTCATTACTTCCAAATAATTAACTTAAATAGTTTTGCGATCCATTTTCATAGGCCTTTTATTCGAAGATGAGTGCATTGTTGTTGCATTAGTAGAGGGATGTGCAACATGAAGCCAACGCAAACATTCCTATGAAATAATAGACCCAAAACGTGCCCTTATTTTGAGTCGTATACGCACACCTTTAGTGAAATGAGAAGTCCTTCCCTCTAAAACTTTTATCTGAACTGCTCTGGAGTCTTTTTTTGTCTTTAGAGTTTGCTTTTGCACCGATAACGTGACGTTAACCCTCAAATAAGTGCACACAGTTACCACTGCTATGATTATTATATGATTTTTTATTATTTTACCAGTGCCCTGAATGGCTAAAGAGAAAAGAACAGCTTGACAAACATTCTCACACGAACCTCTACTCGAGACCGTACAAATAGATAGATATACTTTATTGATCCCAAGCTGGGAAATTACAGTTACAAATCAAACTTTCACTGCTCAAGATAATTAAATTGTAGCTTACTGTAAATAAAAGTCAGTCAATTAAGTTTTAACAGATTTTTAAAACAGATTTACTGAAGTTAAAAAAATAAACCCGCTCTTTCAGTACAGCTCAATGTCATGGGTTGAGCAATGACGATCAGAAAGACAATATCAGATTAATAAGAGTAATTCAGACTTATTCAGAATTTACAATTAAAACTGAGGACTTTTAATTTTTTGTGGCACTCGATGCTACTAGGTGTTATACATATTCAATTACATTAGTTAGCCCTCTGGGTTCAGAAATAAACTGATATAAATGAGCACTAAAAGGATTGCTTGTCATCCTTTTACTGTATGTTTAAAGCCTCAGTGAAAACTTCCCTTTGAGTTTAATAAGTTTAAAGTCATTGATTATCAGTTGCTCTATTTGATACTTTACTTTTGTGCAGCACACACACATTAAGTGAAGGTGGGAAACCATTTCAAAACCAATGCAGTGCAGTTTGATGATAGCGTCCAACAGTACATTTACAGTGCAGTGCATGTGACTGAATCATCTTGATATTTCACATTTGGTTGAATGGAGATAGCTACTACTGACTGATGAGTTAACATGTTCCTGCCTGTTCCTCTGGTTCTGGTTCCTGAACAAACACCTCCACCCACTTACAGACCACATCCAGAAGAAAAGTAACGCACGAAAAATGTACAAGAACACGTGTGTAGTAATGTGAAATTGGAGAATTGTGTCAAACACCAACATTGACACTAGATAAAACCCACTTTTCACTTTATTATACAGTTATTACCCATTTTCGGTCAAAAGACCACCATGTACAATATGCTACCTGATATCTTTGAAAAGATGTCCACTATTACTCAACTATATTTTGACGCAGGCATCAAATACGAGTGTTGAAAACATTTATTGCTATCTGAAAAAATAAATAAATATGCAGCACACATTGACCTGTAAAATCACTAACAAGGCTACTATCAATCTACACACGGTGGGTTTTTCAAGGCATGTGTTGTGCGCAGGGAAAAAACCACTCAAAATCATGCATTGTGTGCTAAATCCAGTAGTCAGTGCAAGTCACACACACACACACACAAACCATTGTGAGATTGTGTAAAGAAACACAAAAAGAGGGGACCTGGATTACTCTTTTCAACCCAACCCAAAATATATCACCACTTTAAAATCCCCTTGGGGAGAAAACTACTGTTAGAAATGCCCCAACACATGGCTGCTGACAGTCAAAATAACTGTCACCTGTTACACCAACTCAGAGTCCAGCCAGCTGAGTCAACACTCTCGAAACCAAATAACTAAACTAACTAAATAATAAAAATCACACACACATAATAGTGTATTCCCCCTGCTCAACAAATCACCCTCCATAGGCGGCAATTTGTTGATCAATTCCCCACGTTCGTTGAGTTCCAGGGACCCCTTAAATATGCAGTATAACCCATTAACCATGCACGTTTTTAGATTTAAGTCCAAACATACGAACCAGTCTCCACTTGAGGCTGCTGCATCTCCTGCTCGGTGACTGGGACCGTTTCTGTGGCTTCACCAGGCATGGTTGCTGAGGAGGAAAACGAAGCCAATGACAGGTAAAAGTTAGAGTTGGCTCAAGCTGAACGACAGGGCAAGTAATTCAGGATCACAGCGGATCGATAACCTTAGTAAAATAGCAGACACTCGGCTTGTAGTTGTAAAAAAAAAACACACACCAAGAAAAAAGAAAAGAGCTGAACAGGTGACTGAGCTTTAAACTCTAATGAAGTAAAAGCTGCCAGCAGGTAACTGGGTTTATCCTCTTTCCCCTTTATCAGTTTGGATCGATTAGTGATCAGCTATTAGCTCCTATCACATGTCAAACAGCGGACCAGCGGCCCTCACAGGCGGCCGGTCCGCTGGTAGTCATCATGTTCCCCCATTTTGAGCAGGTAATCGGCGACACAACGGAACATTTATCGCTGCTCAGCGGGGCGAAACGGGATCAATAGTTGCACCGGCCGGGTGACACCGCTTTACTTTAACACATGACACCCCCGGGAGAGACGGCAATGTGTGAGAAACAGGCGGATGATGTCGGATTATCGGCGGAGACACTCACCGACTCGGGATGCTATATCCAAGATGGCTGTAAGAGAGAACTTCTGACCCCGGTTTCTGCGTAATATCCGGTTTAGAGCTGTTGTTTCTGCTTCCGGGTTATTTAAAGGGCCAGTGCGTGATTTATTTTACATTATTAATACTATAAAATGATATTATTTTATGTAATATTTAAGTACAGTTATTATAATAATACATTTAATTTAATTTAATTTAATTTAATTTAATTTAATTTAATTTAATTTAATAGAGGTGGTCGGGATTTATATGTTTATATATATATATATATATGAAGAAAAAGAAGATAGATATATATACTTTAGATAGATATACTTTATTGATCTCCTAGGGGAAATTTTTATACACACACACACACAG